CGCCCACTACTTCCCAGCGCCTGCTACGCAGGCTAGCTAGCTTTAGGTGTTAGGATTTCCTTTCTTATTGTTAAAAGCAGCCCAACAACCTTTAGGGTTTGTTCCATAGTTTTCTGCAAAGTGTTGGATCTGAATTGTTATTTTGACCCTTTGTATCCTGGAATTCTGTATCTATTTTTGCCTTCAGTTTGAGGTGACATCAAATATTGATTCTTAACTAATCAATTTTGCCCACGATCACAATCTCTGCACATCAAATTAAAGCTTAGAAGTTATTTTTTCACAATACCTATGAAAAAAATGCATTTATTGATTAAAAAGTCTGCCCCTAAGGGTTTTAAAATAAAAAAGAAGGCATTTTTAGAGGGAAAAAATGAATTTTTTTTATTAAAACTGTTCAGTAAAGTCCATGTGATGTTTAGGGCCTAAAAACTGAAAATACATGGAACTAGCTTTCATTTGATACCCCAGTATGACAGGGATTGAGATTCCCTGCTTGATATGCTGGACCCATGCAGCTTTTTTGCGTTGTTTGCAGGATATTGAAGTTCCTATTAAAGCAGCCATACTCTGGTAGTGTTGCCACTCCAAGCCCTTTCATGTAAATTACAATAATGCGAATCTTAAGACTGGAGCCCGATGCCTGTTGTTACTCCTCCGTTTGCAGTTATTGCCGTGACAGTTGCTTTAACTTTGTTTTCGTTTTGTGGCGGTACAACCGTTTCTAGTCTTTCTTACTGGACGCATTTATCGAGCCGTTTCAGGGATTGGGAATCTCGTTTTCGAATTGCCCGTTAAACAGCCAATTACAAAGGGTGGATCGCGGATCCACTTGTGCTTGAAGAAGATGATGAGCATAGTTTAAAATAGCCTGTTCCAGGCTCCTAGATATAGTCCATGGGCCAATCCTGATTTTGGTACCAATTCGAGGGACAAAGGATGATTGCTGCGAATTGATAGCACATAAGGTGGAGATTGAAAATTTGTATGATAACCTTTCTGTAGGAGTAGCTTTCAAGATATTTTTTTCATGTAAAAGTGCCCGAAATGACCTTTGAGGATACTAAACGTGCACTTAAAATGTACTATATCTTTTGTAGTTTAATTTGTTATGAGAGACATGAGAAGTTTTTTGTTGCGTTTTTTTATCGCCAAAATATTATTTGCTCTGAATTTAACCAAAGTAGAGCGAAGAAAACTCAAAAGTAGCGTCCGAATTGCATTATGGGTAAAATCCAAAATGGCGGCTACCATGGCAAGGGTAGTGGGTTCTTGACTTGCCGGTTTAATAGCCATTTTACCATGTAAAACGCAATAATTTCAAGAAAAGTCAGCCAAATCATCTAGTCAATAAAGCGCTAAAACTTTTTGAGGCAAAAGTCTTTGAACTTTTGACTTAATAAACAGAATTTTGGAAATACTTACAGTTCTTGTAGAATGTTCACTTCGATAATCCGATATGTATTTTGCTCATATCAATCATAAACATCTGTTTATATATTTATAAATTTTGAAATATAATCTAATTTTAGGAATGATCAACCTGTTGCAGTCAACATTATTTGAATTATCGGTTATTCGGTAATGAAAACTCAATATGATATGCCAATTTGTAATACATAGATACATATGGTTTATTTAAACACGATAAAATCATCAGTCTGAGAAGGTTAAGTGAAGTAAAAAGGATATAAAGACTACGTACACCTGAATGGCTCACATGATTGCCCTGTGCTGGGAAACAGAAAACTAGAAAGCTAACTGGTTTACTTCCCTTTTGAATTGACATAGCGATGTTATTCTTCGTATGTTTTTTGTGGTAACTCATTCCAAATCATGGCACCGCTATGAAAAAAAACTTTTGGAAGTCCAGACTTTCGTAAATTATAACATAACGTATGTGCTGTTATGTCCCTGTTTATTGCATTTGCATTGCGACTTAAACACTGAAAACTCTGATACAAAAAGGGTCCTTATCTAAGAAGGAGTGTTGATGATGCTGAGGAGTCAAATGCAGTCAAACGTTTCTGCAAGAAGAAGTGGATCATTCACTGTACCGACGATAGCAGTGATTTAGTTAATCCTAAAGACGAGGAGTCGTGGAAAACCTTGCTACGTGCAGCACAGATTCGAAATCACCAAGAAATCGTACAAATTTCGAAGTCTTTAAGAGACGGAGAAGTTTCGAGTTTCGCTCATTTACTACCATCGAAAGTGTCGAAGCATTTTTACAATGAAAAATGTATTAGATAAATTATCCCGACAATCATCCAATAGCCAGACTCACCAGGAACAAGTGGCTAGGAGAGTCTCTATTCGAGGATCTTCCAATATTTCCACAACATACGAGCGCATTTGTATTTTTTGCGAAAAGCCAAAATATTCAAGGGTACAAGGAATCGTGAGCCTTTAGTACAATGCCGAGATATGCGTGCAGATAGCTCTATCAGAAAGATTGCTACACAAAAGAATGACAGCAAGATTCTCGCCTTGTGTCGCACGAATTAGTTGCAGCAGAGGCTTGTTATCACAGGACATGCTAAAGGAGCTACACTAGACCAGAAGCAAGCAGCAGTGTGAACCCTGATATGAGCAGTGAATCTTCGGATGATGAATACGCCCGTCTAGAGTCTGATGCTTACTAGATGCTTTTTGACTTTATAAGATCAGATGAGATAGAAAATTAGAAAAACGTAACGCTGCTTGAGATGACCCAGTTACTTGTAGAGTATCTAATGTCATTAGGGGCTAAGGAATGTAAGCCATCAACAAAGAAGCATATCAAAAGGAACATAGAAGCAGAATTCAATGAATTGATCAAGTTTGAAAACTTGCTAAACAGCAACCGTGTATTCCTAATCCCTGCTAACCTAACGCCAGTGCAAATCGCCAGAAATGTACTAAATATCCTTATGGCAGAAGAAGAAACCAAAGGTTCAACAATGAAGATCTCCAATATTCAGAAAGCTGCGGCTGACATCCGTGATGCTATTCTAAATAAAGAAAGCAAAATGTCATGGCCACCGCGCCCTTCAGAGCTCAATGACAGTGCGTTTTTGCATACCTTGCTGACTGGCAGCAAGTATTCGTTAGAGATAATGTTCTCAAAGAGTCCAGCGGTTGACGAAGTCGTTCGCGCAAGACCTGGTATTTGGAGTAACCAGAGGGAGGATTAAGCCACCTAAACAAATTCTTCTGTGGTATGCTGTAAAAATCTCACAAACAATGTAGAGCTAGTGTCTATACTAAACCGTTATGTTCATGGTATTTCTTATTCCCAGCTTGAATATGCAGGTGAGCGTCAAGGCCCTAAGCCAAGAACATATGTTGAAGTAAATTGCCAGGAAGCGTTAGAAAATACCCGAAAGAAAAAGCTTGTGGGTTTTAGTGCGCCTTCTTTCATTTCTCTCACCCAGCCAGATCGGATTACAGCACATTGATTGTGGTATTAGAAGATACAGATGTCTTTATTCTTTGAGTGTCATTCAAGTACTTAATTCCGTCTTCAATAGTTTTCAAGTGTGGAACACAAGCAAGAGTTACATACATCAGCATCACGAGTATAGTGCAAGCCATAGGTCAAAATTTGTGTAGCAGTCTCCTTGGCATGCACGCTTATACTGGTTGCGACACAGTAAGTGCTTTTGCTGGACGGGGTAAGGAACAGAGATCCTTTCAGGAAATGTTTGACCTCTTAGGAGTGGAATGGGAATTCTCATATAATCTATTCCAGATGCTTTGGAATTTCACCTGTCGTATGTACAGTTCCCGCTCAGGGACAAAAAGCATCAATGAGCTAAGATATAGAGTTATCTGTTCAAAGAGATATAACATCGAGTCCGACCAACTACCGCCTTGCGCTGATTGCCTGTATAAACATGCGTGTCGAGCAAACTAGCAAACAGGAATGTGGAGGCGCAGAATTGACTCTGCCCTGAAATTCCGAGTCCCTTAAGACATGGCTTGATTCAGGATGAGAACAAGTTAGGCATTGATTGGATGAGTGGTCAGCCAGCTCCCGCAACAGTTTTACAGCTACTTTCTTGTTCTTGCACCAAATCTTGTATAGGCTCCCGAACTATAGCTGCCTAGCGAAGTGTACAGACAAGTGCCCTCTCTCCAATTGTGACAACAGGCGAGAAAAACAAGCTGTCACAGTAGAAGTCGATGCTGACGAGGACTAGAATATGTGGTCTGATTCTGTTTTTCAGCATTATTTCCTTTGGCTGTCGACATGATAAATAAATCATCCTTTTGATAAAGCATAAGACATGATTTGTGAGGACTTTCACAGTAATGATCGTTTCCTGTACCATGTCATTACCCTTGTATTAAAATGACAAAACAGAAAAACAGTTTTCCAGTGAAATTTTCAGCCTAAGGGGTCAATCTACAGAAATTCACATATATTTTTCCACTCAGATTCTAACTAGTAGAGCAATTCTTTAGTTATGGCTCTGCTTATAATACAAAACTTTCCACAAATTTAAAACATTCATGAGTTGGGTTCCCATGAATTTTCACATCACCAAAACATTGTAACAGCATTCTCCGGGCACAGAACCTACTGAAAAATTGTTTTCCATGGGATATGTAATCCTGAGGCTTAAGACGGGATTATTTTTGCAACACTGCCATTACTAGTACAGTTGGAATTGGATCATGGTGACAAAAAGCTCTGCCGCAGTAGTTTACACTAGTTTTGCAATGGCATTGCAAGCTATAATACAAAAGCAATAAATGTAGAGAGATGGAGTAGGGCCCTTGGTGACACACGACTCTATTTTTGTGGAATTTGGATGGAGAATCTTGCAGTTTAACAGAAGTCGTTTGGGACAAACAAATTGCATACTTGAACTAGACACATCTGAATCTTATTACTACTTCAAAATGAATCTTAAATCAAATCAAAAACTGTCAACCAAAAGGCACGTTTCCAATTACTATCAATCTTCCTAGAAAAGACAAAAGGAAGACAAGTTAAAGTTGTAAACCCTTACCATTTCTGCCGTCTCTCCATTTACAGAAGTCACAGGTACCGTGTCACCTTGGCCTTCATTGGCTGGTGTGCCTGTGGACTCCCCTGATGGACCATCTTCTGCATTGTTTGAGTTTTCACTAAAACCATCCTGACATCTACCTTGGCAACAATCTGCATGAAAAATATCATAATGACAAAAATGTTCAACAATATAAAAAATATAAATGCATTCACTTTCTAATGACAGCACGGTAAAGATAAAACTAGGCTGAGAAAACAGCGGACATTTGGCAATGCTACCACTGGTTTCCCCAACAAAATAATGACGTCTGAGAAACGAGCACAGAAATTCCATACTGATGACACATCACTACCAAAATCTGGGTTGTGCTTCTGATTGGTTGAATCAAATTTCCCAAGCAGCACAACAAATCAGATCTGGGTAATGATGCCTCATTGGTATGGAATTTCTGCACTTGCTTCTCAGATGTCATTTGGCATGCAAACCAGTGGTAGTGTCACCAAATGTCGGCTGTTTTCTCAGGCTAAGATAAAACAAAAGATATCTTTTTCTCTGAAAAGCAGACAAAATGCACAGGTCATACAAATGTCTAATGAAACTAAAGTTCTTTACAGCATTTTAAACTATGCCGCTTTAACTAGGAAAATTTTTTTTTTTCCAAAAATATACCTAAGTGTTACCATAACAGGATTTGCTACAACAGTAGAGCAGGGGGTTGTGGGTTCAATTACCAGAGCGGGACAAATACTCCCGGTCATAAAAGTAAGGATTTTATGACCTCCCGTCTCCATTAGGGGATGTAAAAATAGCTTCCTCAACATTTATTTAGTCCTTTTGCGCTAAAAACATTGAAACTCAAATAAAGTGTTTTTTTTTTTTTGCTTTGTTTTTTTTAGTCATGCCTGGCACATAGTACTATTTTCCCAAATAGCCTTAAATACAGCGTACTGTACCTGTTTCATTACTGGCATATGTATGCACTTCTACACCCAAAGGTCCAAGGAAGGAAGCAATAGTCTCCCCGACAGCATGAAGAAATGGTGGGCCAACAGGAACCTCAGTACTTTCATTAGGTTCTTCACCAGAATCTGTTTGAGCATGGCGATCATACTTGTTTTGTCCACTGTGACAACGTGGTTTTCCTCCTCCACGTCGACGACTTCCCCTCCGTCCATAACCACCACGCCCCCAAGGACCAAATCCATGCCCTAAGTCAGCATACACCTGAACATTTGGATGGAGATGTGGGTGTGGTGGAGGACCATGGGGAGGGTGGTGTGGAGGGACATGAGGAGGGTGATGTGGGGGATGGAATGCAAATGGATTCATGCCATGGAAAAAGTTATAACCTGGATCTCTTGGAGTGGAAATGCGCAGCATCTCATGTTCCTTATGTTTGCCTTTGGTTTCACATGTCTGGCAAAGATCAAAGTTTGGGCACACCACACATTTGAAGCGAATTCCAAAAATGTGCTTCTCGCAGCCGTCGCAGACCACACCAGGATGAGCTGGGCCAGACTGTTCTGCATTTATACCTTCCCCTGGAAAAAAGAATAAAAGGGCCTTTTAGTTTTCCCTTGATACTGTAACAGAAATAGATTACAAAAAGACTACAAGACAATGAGTAACATAATTTTTGAGAAATATTCTCAATATAATTTTCAAATGCAAGCAAATCGCTTTTCTGTTTACTGTTAATCACTGTCCAAATTTTTGCTGACTCATGATGACTGGGATTCTTTCAAAAGAACTGGTGACTCAAAATTGCCACGTTTTGTTTTTTGAGTGAAACTTAGCTTAATTAATGCATTTGTTCAACTAAATTACCAATAAAGAACTAAAATAAAATACCAATAAAGAACTTTTGAAAAGACCTTCATGACGAAAAAATGGGAAGTTCCAAGCTAAAGCACATAAAATGTCGCAACTTTTTGACAATGACAGAAATTCATTTTAACATAAGCTTATTGAAAATCATTACAATTGAAGGTTCTTCTTACCCTCTCCCAAAGAATAATCTCGAGAAGAGTTTTCATCGACCTTGACATAAACACGAAATACATCTCCGCTGATGCTCCCTAAAGCCTCCACCAGCTCTTCGTCGCTTGAGAAGGTTATCATCTCATTATCTGCATCTGTTTGGAAAGGGAAATACAATTTTCAACGCAATTGAGCGTCTCTGCAGGTTGCAAATTAGCGCGAAAAAATGTTTATCTGCGTTCGATCCAGTATTAGTAACGTCTTTCTACCGAGCAAATTTAAAATCAAAGTAAACTAAATACGCTTTACCTTTCCAAAAAAGTTTGAAAATCTTGCCCCTCACAACTGGGAACACTTGCTCTATCTTCTGTGCCAAATAGGCGTAGCTCGCAGAGACTCCTTCGTCGATGGCGAATCGACGAATTTCTTGTTGATTTGTGTCCGGGTGAATGTAAGCCTTTACAGAAAGAGCCATTTTCTCTTGTCTCGTCAGATAGAATTCTCTCTTGAAAATCAATCACTTGCTTCTTCAATACCTGTATGAATAGCAGAATAATTGGTGCTGCCTCTTTTATACCACCTTGGTCCGTTTCTAGAACGGTAGAGACTGTCAGCAATTTTAGTGCATCGTCAGCCGTAGTCATCCATATACAGGTTGTAAACAAAGCGACGTCATCGTGGTCGTGTCGATACAAAAGTTGTTTCGATACAAGTCGATTCGATACGAACTCAAGCAATGAAATTGCACACAAATTTCGTTCGCTTCAAGTATAGTTTGTGCATGAAAAAAAAATTGGATGAGAATTCTTCGCTCTTTAAGCCAAGGAAGTGAATATATTTACACCTTGGTCACATAAACTTTTGACGAAACGACTTGTATCGAAACGACTTTGAATCTCGACTTTGTATCAAGACCACAAGCCACCATACTAGAAAACGAAAACACCCTGGGGACGAGGTTGAAGACCCAGAATGCATTGTGGGCGATTGTTGGCAGGAAGACGCGAATGGACGCGAACCGCTTTCACAACGTGTGCGGGCTAAGAATCGATCGAAACTCTGTTTGTAGCTTCAATCATGTCTGTTGATTTAGCATCAGAACCCATCTCAGATACTGAAAGGCAACAGTACTGTGTAGAAATGATGCAACGCCTCAATATACAGCGAAGAAATGAGCATTCCTGTGATCTGATTCTTGAAGTTGGCTCTGGTGATGATCAAGCCCGCTTGAAAGCTCATAGAAATGTGCTGTGTGCCGCAAGTCCGTTCTTTTATAACGCTCTAAACACTGAAATGAAAGAAAAGAAAGAAGGAGTGATCCGACTAGAAGAAGCTAGCAAAGGTCTGATGGAAGACATCTTGGAATACTTGTATACGGGACATGTTTACATCAGTGAGAGGAATGCTGTGGATTTGCTTGCGATGGCAGATTATTTGATTATTCCGTCCCTTAAAGTAAAATCATGTGAGCTTATCTCGCAATCAATGTCTCACACAAATTGCTTACTGTTCTATTATGCTGCTATGAGGTACCAATGTACTGGATTGCAGGAACGAACGAGGAATTTTATCTTTGCAAACTTCATGAGCGTGACAGGCACTGACGATTTCCTTGAATTGAGCAGGAAGCAAGTGGAAGAGTGGATTTCAAGCGATGAAATTAAAGTGAAAAGTGAGGAAGAAGTTTTCCAGGTCATTGTAAGGTGGATGGAAGAGAGAGAGATTGGAGAACATGAGGAATTTTTCCAACTCCTTCGTCATGTTCGTTTCATGCATGTGCCCCGCAGCTATGTTTTAAGCAACATTTTGCCTCATCCCTTAGTCAAAGGCTCTGAAACCTGCATGGCATTTGCACTAGACTCAACAAAGACCACAAGTTTGAATGGTTTGGCTTGGCCACCAAGAAATTGCCTCAAGAGGTGTGAAGATGGCCTTTTTACCATTGGGCGGGAGAAATCTTTTTGTTACCTTCCTTCCGAAAACAAGTGGCATGAAATGTGTAATTTGTTATCTGAGACAAAATTTCCCCCTTCCTCAAGTGCTCTTTGTAGTAAGTTGTATGTCTCTAGGGAAGAAATAGAGAGATATGACCCATTTTCAAACTCTTGGGTTTCCTTGATGTATAACAGAGGTGTAGATAAATACAAAAGGCCAGCTTTGGTCACTTTTCAAGGTTTTTTGTTTGTGGTTGGTGGGGTAACCTCTGAAAAACGAGTTGTTGATAAGGTGCATAAGTACAACCCAGATACAGACCTGTGGCAGGAGGTAGCGCCAATGAGTGTTGCAAGGACGGGTATGTGTGTTGTTGCTGATGAAAGTTCTATGTATTCAATAGGTGGGTGGTCACGGAATGGAGTAGTGGATGTTGTGGAAAAATATGATCCTGAAAGAAATTCCTGGAGCAGAGTTGCTTCAACAAGAGAAAAAAAGATGTATTGTTGTGGTGTAATGGTTAACAGTAAAGTGTTTTTGTTTGGAGGATTGAAGAGCACAGCACCAACGGTAACTTCAACCCTTACTGAAATATATGATCCTGTGTCAGATGTGTGGACTAGTGTTCAATATACACCTTTAAGATCATTACCTGTCTGTGCTGTGAGTTTAAAAGGAGATATTTTTGTTTTGGTTTTGTCAAGAGAAAATGATCAGGTAGTCTTTCAAGTAAACATTTACAATGGTGACACAAATGAGTGGAACCTTTGTGCTAATGCGCCAACTGGAGTTCAGCTGTTCAGCTTGGCTCCATTAAAAATACCAAGGGACATTTTAACAGCATGTAAAGT